TTGCAGGCCCTCGAGATCAGAGGGCATCGACGAGCGGGAGAACACCGCTCAGTGAAGTCTGGAAAGTGCTCTATTCCTCGCCCCGCCCGCCCTTCGTGTTGAACAAGGTTAAATCTCATGTGGGGGAAGACGTGATTGGTATGGCTCGGGTTCACAAACGTGGAAACGATTATGCCGACGAGTATGCTAAGGACGGGGCCAAAATGCACCCTGAGATGGCCCAGAACATTGTCAAGTACGAGCTGGCTCTGAGTAGTTGGGAAGTCTTGGCAGTAGGCATGGGCACAATTTTAGACAGCCTTCCAGAGGCCAGATCTCTTTTCGGCAAACTAGAGCGCGCCCCGAGAGTCCCCAGGCCCGTGGTCCTTCCCAGCGGCCTGAGGGCTCATCGTGTGCGTTGGAACGGGTGTAGGTGGCGGTGCCTTGAGTGCGCCCGTGCGTTTGATTCTAAGAATCCTAGGGGGTCCTGCGCGGCTTTAACCCCCTCCATGCGGTCTTTAATTAATCAGGTCGACAACCCCAAGCCCCACACACTGCATGTCGCCAAAATTGTACAATCTTCTCTGCCTGTGGTGTTGTGCCTTAGGTGTGGGGCTTATTGTACTGGGGCTCCTCGTCAGCTGCTGAAGCCCTGTGGTAAAGTATTTGCACAGCAGAGGAGACAGCTTCTGAGAGGCGACCTTCCCTGGCCGCGGGGACAGAATATCACAAGCCCTTGGCCACTCAGCCTCGCGCCTCATGAGGAGGCGGAGTGGTGGACCAAGCTATTTTGATTGTGTTGTTGGATTATCTTGTTTCGCCCGCCCTGGCGGGCGTTCTTTGGCCACTGCCTGCGGGCGGTGGTGGGGGCAGCCAGGCACCTGGGCCACTGCCCTGCGCCTGCATGGCGGTCCTGGCCTTCGGGCTCCGCCCTGCAGGCGCTGGGTAGTGGTGGTCGGTGGTGTTTGGGGGCCCCTTTGCAGCCCCTTCGGTCGTAGATTGGTGGGTGCCAAGCGAGAGCCACTGGAAAAAGGAGGAGGAGGAGGACGAGATGGAGAGGGAGGAGGAGGGGGAGGAGGAGGAGGAGGAGGAGGGGGAGGAGGGCTCGCTCCTCTGACCCCCCTCGCCCCTCCCTCGCGCTCCTCCGCACGACCGTGTTCATCTCAGAACCGTGTAAGACTCCAGGAGAGCCCCAGTGATCCATATACGCTGGCTACGGTGGGGGCGTTCGTCAAGGAATCGGTGCCAGGAGTCTTCAGACCCTGGAGGATTCCTTATCCAGTGAGGGCGGCGGTGATACCCATGGCCACTGCACGATTCGATTCCCGCGGGCTTCCAGACCCTGGACTTCTTATCCAGTGGTTCCTTATCCAATGTCTTTACCGTATCCTTCCCAAGGCTGCACCTCATCTTGACACGCTTCTTGGCCGAACGCTCAAGGCCGTCCAGGAGGAGGAGGAGGAGGAGGAGGAGGAGGAGGAGGAGGAGGAGGAGGAGGAGGAGGAGGAGGAGGGGAGGAGGAGAGGAGAGGAGGGAGGAGGGAGGGAGGGAGGAGGAGGAGGAGGAGGGGGAGGAGGGAGGAGGAGGAGGGAGAGGGGGAGGAGGAGGAGGAGGAGGAGGAAGAGGAGGAGGAGGAGGAGGAGGGAGAGCAGGAGGAGGAGGAGGAGGAGGATGAGGAGGAGGAGGAGGAGGAGGAGGAGGCTCCAACCCCTTAACTCGGCCCCCACGGCGGGCGGTACCGCGAGGCTTACCGCCAGCGTCAGCGACTCTGGGGGTCACCGCGCTGCCGGGTTCGCGTCCGGCACACCAGGGCTCACATCGATTCCTCCGCTCCGACTCGATTCGATTCCGATGGCTTCCGATTCCGATGCGGTCCGACATCGGGTTCCGATTCGGGCTCTGGCTTCCTGCTAGAGGCCCGCCAGCCTGCCGAGTTCCGCCGAGTCGACTTTTCCCGACTCGGCTTCCGCTTTCCGGAGATCCGATTCGTTCCGATCGCCGACCCGATTTATCGATTCGATTCTTGGGGCCCAAGGAAACCTCGAAGTGCTCTAGTAACATCGCGACTAGGGCTGACCACCGCAGCCTTGTCCTTCGATATCTTGCATTCGCACTCTTCCACTATGGCCTGGAAACGCCGAGAGCTGGCGCACTTCAAGCCGTCCACGGCTTCACCTAGGGAGCCTACCGCAGATATGCCACTATCATCGATCTACTGATCCAAGTGCACATGCTTCGGAAAATCGGAAGATCGAGAAAGCCTCGATAGTGTATACTGTCACGAGCGACGTGGCGAAACTGCAGCCAGCTACAACGCCTTTCACCGCATAAAAGGGACCAGCCACGTATCCTGCCAGGCACGCGAGCCTCGCCGATCCGTATGCAGGCCGCGAGCGCGAGCTGGAACGTGATGGCAGGGAAGCCGAACTCAGCGAAGCTCTGCCCAAGACGGTGAAGACCTTTACCCTCGTAGAACTCGGACGTGCCCCAGAGTACGGTGGCGCGAACCTCACCTTTGGGCATCTCCGCCCCTCCCTGCCTGCCGCGCCCCCTGGCCGAGGCAGAGGGCCGCCCTGCGCAGAGGCTGCGCCGGCGGCCGAGGTCCCATTCCAGCGCGGATCCAGGACGGCGGGTTGCCCCAAAGCCCGCGGAGCGAGCAAGCAGAAAAGGCGGAGGGGCCGCCAGCCAGCCACCTGACGGCTTCATGAGCAGCGCGAGCTGCACCGCGCGGAGTTGGGCTGGAAGGGCGGATGTTTCTCGCATCGTGCGCACCATGAAACAGACCACCTGCAAGGATGATCGCTCCTCCCGGAAGCATGTGTCATGTGGAACCCATCCAGCCCACAAGCGGACCTCAGGGGTGCGACAAGGATGTTTTCTTTTGGTATAAGGAGAAAGGCTGGAGGAAGGAGGGGAGAGGATGGAGGAGGGAAGAGGAGGATGGAGGAGGAGGAGGAGGGGGAGGAGGAGGAGGAGGGAAGGATTGAAGGAAGGAAGGAGGACGAGTGAGGAGGAGGGAGAAGTAGGAGGGAGGAGGGAGGAGGGAGGAAGGAGAAGGGAAGAGTGAGGACGATGAGGAGGGAACAGGAGGAGAGAAGAGGAGGGCAGGAGGGCTGTCCAATCGAATCGTTCGGAAACTGAGCCAGGCAGCCAGCGGGCGTTCTGACGCGCCGCAGCGTGCCGTCGGCACTGGCGGGTCATCGTGTTCGGGATCATGAGGACCTTTCAGGAGACCTGGCCACGGGTCCAGGACCAGCTGCAGCTGTCTCAGCTGGAGGCGCGCGGAGTGCGCGTCGACGTTGTCGTGAGCACCACCCTGAGAGTGCGGTGCACGGAGAAGGACCACCGCGAGGGCTTCTGTGCCGAGGCCTGGAGGCAGTGGAGCGAGGACGAGTTCAAGAGGCAGATCCGTGGGACGTACGGGTCTCGGTTGAAGTACATTTTCGACACGTCAGCCGAAAACCTGGACAAAGTGGGCGAGCTTCTGAAGTCAGATGAGGGTTCTGTATACACAATGCTCAAAGACACGGGCTTGCGACTCTGGAGAGGCAGGAAGCCGCCGTCTTCTGGAGTAACCGTCCTCTTGAGATCGGACGTCTATTTCACAACAGCGCACGTCGACGTTCGAGCAATATGCAAATCGCAGCCGGGGTATCTCTTCATAAGCGGCTGGTGGGAGCGCCCCTGCTTCTGGCACCAGCGCGATCTGGACTTCGGTGCCGTCGCGTGCAGCCCGCGGGCCCTGGAGCTGGACTTTGCCGCCCCGGAGAGGTGCGAGCAGCGCTGGCCGGGATGCGCCAACGGGGCCGACGAGCCCCCGCCTCTTCTGATGGGCGTGTTTTCCACCACCACCACCATAAGTTGGAGGGGGGAGGAGGAGGAGGACGAGGAGAAGGAGGACGAAGAAGAGGAGGAGGAGGACCCCCTCCCCCTCCAACTTATGGTGGTGGTGGTGGAAAACAGGCCAATCATCTGCCGGCAGGCTTCTCCGGCTCCTGGAGCGACCACTGCGGCGCCGAGGCGCTGCGCGCCTGCGGCACCCACGAGTGCGACCAGGTCCTCACGTTTTCGAGCCGCGGCGAGCTCCTGGGGAACCTGGATGCGCGGGAGGTCTTCCTGAAGATCCGCCGGTGGAACGAAAGCGAGGCGATGGAGTGAGGTGGTAGGGGGCCGCATGCGAACCCCACCCCTGCCCCCCCATGATTTCTGAGGGGAGGGCGGGGTTCATTTCGTTCGGGAGCTCTCGAGCGAAGTGAACCCCACCCTCCCCCTCAGGAGTCGTGGGGTGTAGGGGTACAGTGCCGTTTTTAAGACATGCTCCGCGTGCGCATCATATATCAAACATGCAGGGATTGAGAATCAAAAACACCGACGAGTTCATGCATAACTTTACTCATACATTAACCATGTATCAGAAATCCTAAATTCAAGGGCAGACAAAAACACCCCTACCCTGGTTTACGAGGCGCTGTGCTCTGAACCTCCTGTGGGCTGGCAGGGTAAACCATGCGTGAGGTGCCGCGTTCTGGCGGCTCTAGGCTTTGGGGGCTCCCAGGAGGTTTACAGACCACGCACGTGCAATCCAGGGTGGGGTCGTTTTTTCACCCCTCAATATATGTGAAAGATCCCATGTGTTAAAGACTGCCCTGTAGGGTTCGCGCGTGGCCCCCTCATGGCGGCCTTTCCCGCGCACCCTCCGCCTGCCCGCGGCAGGCCCCCCGCCGCCGTGCCCGCGCCGCGAGACGCTCCGCGTGGGTGGCGGCGCTTCGAGCACCCGCCGGAGGGCCGCGCCCGCCGAGGGCCGCGAGAGAGTGTTGGCGTTCTTGCGCGGGCCAGGGCATTTCCAGGGGGGGGAAAAGCACACAGACACACTGAGTCGTCGATTCCCAGAAAATAGGGGAAGATATGGGAAGGGGGGGGGGAAGACAAAAGCCCAGAAACTATGGGAAAGTATGGGGCATGTTTTTAGTTGTGTGTGTTTCTTTGTGTGACCTGGGGCCCCTTCACATTTTCTTTTGCGGAGTTGGGCGCCCTGGCGCGGACGGCCGAAGGACCCCTGCAGCGGGACACCCTGGCCACGCGGGCGCCGCCGCAAAAACTGCCCGTTGAGCGCTGGCGCCGCGCAGAGGCTGCGCCGAACGGCGCTCGGGCCTCTCTTTTGGGGGGGCTCTCATGGGGGCGACCGCTCTTTCGGGCACGCAGTCGGCCCAGATTAGCAGGTCGACCCTGCCAAAGCAAGGGTGCCGTTGTGTCCTGTGTCTCGCGACCCATGCTTCGTGCATTCCTGTGGCAAGGTGGCCCTCGGAAGGGTCTTGTGTCCTCTCGCGCGTCCTGTCCAATCGAGTCCGACTGTACCCCTCACACGTTTCGTGGCCCCACGGGGAGCTCCACCGAAAACCCCAGTGGCCAAGGCCGCGGGGCGCCCCCCCGCCCATTGCAGCACACCTCTCCCCGCGCTCCGTGGCGCCGTTCGGGGGCTCCACCGGAGGCCCAGTGGGCATGCCCACATGGCGTCCCCCCGCTGATTTCGGCACGCACCTCACTTTTTTCGTGGTCCCGTCGGGAGCTCCACCGAATATCGCCCCCGTGGGCACGGTCACAATGCGTGCCCCCGCCATTTCGGCACACCTCTCACACGTTTCATGGCTCCTTCGAGAGTGCAACCGAAGGCCCTGGTGGGCACCCCCCCGCACATGCCGACACACGTCTCATACGCTTTGTGGCGCCGTCAGGAGCTCCACCCACGGCCCCAGTGGACATGTTTACACTGTCTTCTCTCGCCGATTTCTGCAAACCCATCACGCGGATCGTGGCCCCATGCGGAGCGCCACCGGAAAGTTTCAGTGAGCATCCGCTTCTTCTCGGCGCGCACTTCGCATGTCTCGCGGCCTCATAAGGGAGCTCCACCGAAGGCCTCGGCGGCAAAGTCCGCATGGCGGCATCCCGCTCATGTTGGCGAACCCCTCACACGGTTCGTGGCCCCACAAGTAGCTCCACCCTACAGAGAGTTCAGCATGCGTCTGCGCGCCTGCCCCGCAGCGCTCTCTCCGTCGTGTCCTGCGCCGCGCCGTAAGTAGATACACGTATGAACAGAGGGCCACGGATCTCCATAGTGTTGGGTCCATCGCCAATCATGTGTTTAGTTGAGGCCCCCATGTTTTTTTTTTATATTTTTTGTGTGTGTTCACACGGTCATGTACGTATGTATGTATGTACGTATGTCTGTATGTAGGGCCCTCAGCATGCACCATCAACCCCCTGTTGTGGCATTCCACTTATGAATTCATATATGGTTCCAGCCGTTCTCGCACTCTCAATTTTGAGGCTCATTTTTTGAGAAGTGTTTCGCCTCATATTCGAAGCGATGTTCGCCCTCCGTCTCCAAAACCACACCCACTGCTCAACAGCCCTACTTCTCCAACGCCACACCCAATACTCAACAGGCTACCTCTCCAAGATGAACTTGAACATGCCCTTCTACTCAACTCCATCCGTCTCCAACACCACGCCCAATACTCAACAGCCTTTCCCCCCAACGTAACATCCAACACTCAACAGGCTATCTCCCCAAGATGAATTTGAAAGTAACCTTCTACTCAACTCCCTCCGTCTCCAACACCGCACCCAATACTCAACAGCCTTCCTTTCCAACGCAACATCCAATACTCACCAGCCTCCCACCCCAAGGTGATCTTCATCATGCCCTTCTATTCGAGTCCCTTGGTTTCAAACACCACACCGACAACTCAACAGCCTTCTTCTCCAACGCGACACCCCATACTCATCAGGCTACCACAATACTAAACAGCCTTCCTCTCCAACACCACACCCAATACTCAACAGGCTACCCCCCTAAGATGAATTTAGACATACCCTTCTACTCAACTCCCTCCGTCTCAAGCACAACGCCGAATACTCAACTGCCTTCCAACCGCCTTCCGCTCCAACGTAACACCCAATACTCAACAGGCTACCTGCCCAGGATGAACTTGAACATGACCTTCTACTCAACTCCCTCCGTCTCCAAAGCCGCACCCAGTACTCAGCAGCCTCCTTGTCCAGCGCAGCACCCAATTCCAGAGCAGCCTTCTTTTCCAACGGGGCACCCAATACTCAACAGGCTCCTGCCCGAAGACGAAGTTGGAAATACCCTTGTACTCAGTCCCCCTCCGTCTCCAAGGCCACACCCGACACTCAACAGCCTTCCTCTCCAACGCATCGTTCACCCCACTGCGAAGCCTTCGCCTCCACGGTCGACGCGTGCACCTGGAACGCCCCTTTCCTTTTGCCATCTTCCAAAGGAAACGGGGTGAACGGGGTTCACGGTGCATGTTTAGATGTATGTCTGTCTGTCTGTCTGTTTGGCTGCCTGTCTGTCTGTCTGTCTAATTTTCCGTACGTGTGTATGTATGTATGTGTGTATGTATGTACGTATGTATGTTCGCACGTACGTGTGTATCTATATATGCATGCATGCATGCATGCATGCATGTATGTATACATCTACATATACTTGTATACATATACACAAGACTGGCGCTTGGCGCCTTGCACCTTGGTCCTTGAAGTTTGGCATGTAGCGGAAGTCGCGGCGAACGGGCAGGACGGTAAACCGAACACATCGACAACTTATTGTTGCCTTGTCTGACTTCGTCGTCGTAATAATGCCATGCGCCATCTCTTCCTCGTGCTTCCTCTTCCTCTTCCTCGGTCTCGCCGCCCCCCGCGAATATTTCCCCATCCTCCTCGGCTCCTTCTGCGGAGGCTCCTCCTTGGAGGCCGCACGAACGTTTGTAAGGGTTTCTCGGGGCCCTCTGGAGGCCTCCTGGGCGGGCCTCTCGGGGCTGCCTCGGGCCTCCCTGCGTCCAACTGCGGTCTTCCCTGGACGACGGGGTCGCCATTTGGAGTGCTTCGGGGGGCATCTCGGGGCCATCTCGGACCGTCATGGGGCTCTCCATGGGATCTCTTCGGGCCATCTTTGGGCCCTGTGAGGCCGTTTCTGGGCTCTCTTGGACCGACTGGGAGCCCTTTCGGGCAGTTTCGGGGCGATTGTCGGGTCTCTTGGGCGGTTTCGGACGCCTGGCAGATAGAGGAACAGAGCATTCCCCAACTCATACAAACACATTGGACAACCACATTTTGTTGAGTTTTACGGGCGCAGCCCGTAATTTGATTTTCGGAAAGTAGGCTGATTGACTGAACTGACAACTGAATCAGCAAAGCCGTTAGGTGGCAGTTTTATTTCAGGGGGTGATGATATTTCGCTGGCAGTTTTTTGTTTGAGTCCAGGGGGTAAGGACATTTAACTGGTAGATTTAGGCCATGGGCAGTGAGGATGTTTCGCTGGCAGTTTTAAGGCCAGGGGTTGAGGATATTTCGCTGGCAGTTTCAAGCGAGCGGTGTGAGGATATTTCGCTGGCAGTTTTAAGCGAGGGGTGTGAGGATATGTCGGTGGCTTTTTGAAACCAGGGGCCGAGGATATTTCGCTGGCAGTTTTGAGCGAGGGGTGTGAGGATATGTCGCTGGCAGTTTTAAGGCAGGGGGTTGAGGATATTTCACCGTCAGTTTTAGGCAAGGGGGGAGGATATTTCGCTGGCAGTTTTATTCGAGGGGTGTGAGGATATTTTGCTGGCAGTCTAAATCAGGGCTGTGAAGATATTTCGCTGGCAGTTTTAGGCCAGGGGGTGATGATATTTCGCAGGCAGTTTCAAGCGAGATGTGTGAGGATATTTCGCTTGCAGTTCTAGGCCAGGGGGTGAGGATATTTCGCTGAGGGGTGTGAGGATATTTCGCTGGCAGCTTTACGCCAGGGGGTGAGGATATTTCGCTAGCAGTGTTAACGGGGGGGGTGAGGATATTTCGCTGACAGTTTTAGGCCAGGGGGTTGAGGATATTTCGCTGGCAGTTTTAAGTTCCGGGGGTGAGGATATTTAGCTGGCAGATTTAGGCCAGGGGCGGCGAGGGTATTTCGCTGGCAGTTTCAAGCGAGGGGTGTGGGGATATTTCGCTGGCAGTTTTAAGCGAGGGGTGTGAGGATATGTCGCTGGCAGTTTTAAGCGAGTGGTGTGAGGATATGTCCTGGCCCAGCCGGAGGTTACGCATGCAGCGCGGTGCTGCGCCCGTACACGTGCTCGCCCTTTGGCGTGGGGCTGGCGGGGGGCCAAGGGGCGAGCTGTCCGGTGTTTCGAGAACCTCTTAGGGGTCTTCTTTGGGTCTTCTTCGGGCGTCTGGTGGGTGTCTGGGGCCTCTGGGGGGCCCTCGGGGGCCTTTCAGTCGCCCTCCTGACCGATTCGGGCCCGTTGCCTGGGCCCAGCAAGGGCTTACAGGAGCTCCGCAACGCCCGGGGGACCTTCCGCAGGGGCGTCCAGGGGGCCCCTGGGGCCAGGGATCCGGGGAAGGGTTCTAGATGATAGAAATTCAGAACAGGGAATCTCTCATGCCCTCTTGGAACCATCTTGAGCCGACAGGGTCTGGCAAGCGAACAATAATCAGACACCCTATAATTCCAAATCGTTTCCCAAATCGGCTATGCCTGAGGGGTTCCTCAATGTTGTGTGAGAGAAGCCGATCGGTGCGGGGTCCCAATTCCGAAGCGGCGTTCGGCGTCGCTTGGGTTCCTTGGTCTTGGTTCCTTGCATTGGCAGCGCTCGGCGTTGCCTGGGTTCCTTGGCCTTAGTTTCTTGCTGCCAGCGGAACGAAGAATGACATTAACACAAAAACTCGGAGGTCCGCGCGGATTTCTCGGATCTGCGCTGGACCCCCCTCTCTGGCGCGCGGAGCGCGCCAGGGGCGGCGCCCGATGCGCCGCCAGGAGCGTCCAACGCGGATCCGAGAAATCCGCGCGGACCTCCGAGTTGTTACGTTCATGTCATTCTTTGTTACCCTAGCTGCCTTCCTCGGTTTCCTCGGTTTTGGTTCCTTACATTGGCGGCGCTTGGCTTTTAGCTCGGGCTCTTTTGGTCTTGGTTCCTTCTGTTTGGCGGCGCCTGGCGTTGCTGGGGTCTTTTGGCCTTGGTTCTCTGCCGCCTTCCTCGGGGTCTTTGGTCTTGGTTCCTTGCTGTTGTTCTCGTGCCAATTCCAAGCAAATCAGTGCCCAGCGATACTATTAGATGCCGAGGAATTCCAATCTGGTGCAAAACAGTGACAAGCAATGCCAAGCAACGGAAAGCAGTGCATCGCAGCACCGAGCGATGCCAAGCAATGCCTAGCAATGCCAGTCAATGCCAGTCAATGCCAAGCAATGCCAAGCAATGCCAAGCAATGCCGAGCACGGAATCAAGCAACGATTCCGAGCAATGCCAAGCAATGCCAAGCAATGCCAAGCAATGCCAAGCAATGCCAAGCAAGGAATCCAAGCAATGATTCCGAGCAGTGCCAACAAGCAATGCCAGGCAATGTAAAGCCATTGTAACGCAGCGCCAAGCAACGCCAAGCAATGCCCATCAACATTGACCAATGCCAGCCAAGTCTAGGTAATGCCAAGCATCTCAATTCAATGTAAATCAATGGCAGGCGATGTCAAGCAACTCCAAGCGATGTAACGCAATCAAACAAGCAATGCAACGCAATGCAAGCCACGCAATGCCAAGCAATGCCAAGCAATGCCAAGCAATGCTTTGCGTTGCAAGGCCTTGCGTTGCTCCGATCTAGCTTTTGAACAGTTTGGGGGGAGAGAAGACCCCCAATGAGGGCCGCGCCTGCTTCATTCTGAACGATTTGGCCTTCCCAATAGGGAGGGCCTCTTGGCCTGTGTGATGGCTTGGACGGTTTCTGTACATTTCTGGCTACTCTTGGGTTTTTTTTTCAGGGACTGTTCGGTGCCTCTTGAGGCAAAGTTAGGCCATCTTGGTGGCTTTGTTGGCCTTCCTGGCCGACTTGCACGCCTTGGAGAGCCTTGGAGAACATCGGGGAAGCCTGGGGCCGCCAAGGGCCTCAGAGGGGGGAGCCAGTGAACGCAGCTGAGCATTACCAGGAGGGTGAGCCGGGCCCTTAGAATTTTTACGTAAGCCTTGCAGGGCAGCACTTGGCATCCTACCACGCCTCAACGCACCAGGGAGCACGGTGGCGGGCTCCTGCATGCGAAGAGATCATGGATCGTCCGGTGGCTGCGGAGATCCTTTTCTGCGTGTCCCACAGGAACAGGTGTGCTGTGCTATGCGTAGATGCGCCATTGCGTCGTAGTCTCAACATGTGTACAGCGAAGGCTGCTATCCTTTCTTAATGCATCCAGCAATCGTGCGAATTATAGTGGGAGTGTTCGTTGTAGCAGCAGTTGAGTTGTCTCTGCACTGGTAGTGGTAGTTCTAGTGGTTGTTGAAGCTGGTTTGTTAGCGGCAGTGTCGTCGGTATGGGCCAGTAGTTGTAGTTGGACGTGTAGTAATCGTGCAGCTATCTTTTAGCTGCAACGTCTACATTGCCTACAAAGCCTGCGCGCTTGCCTTGGCCACACAGCGTCCGCACAAAGCCAGCTCCACAACAGATGTTCCCATCTCGTGTTGGTTGACTTTGTGCACCATTCCACACGCGTGAACATTTGGAGGAGAGCCCAGCGTCAATAGTACCTGATGTTGTTCTCAAGCTTGTTCGCTCCTTCGGTGTGGCCGTGCTCATAGCATGCCCGCAGCTCGCCGTTATCTGCATGCGGGGAAACACTTGTTCGTAGGATCCCTTCATGTGTGCGTTGTCTGCGGGATGCAAAAGGCGATCACCCACACCCGCGCGTGAGAGACCCTACATATTTTTGACCTGCACTGAAGTGAGCGATGTAGCACCAATCGCCAATGCGAAGAATCACAGAAGCAGCATAGTCGCAGTTTAGTGCATTTGCGGCGTCATTTGTTTTTCAGATGGCGCATGTGATCCGAATCCTCGTGGCTTTTTCAAGTTGACTCTCAGTCACAATCTGATTGCACCTGCCCGGAAGTCCCGGTCGACACACGGAGTCGCAGAAAGAATGTGGTCCACGTTGGATGAAGGTCTGTATCATTTGGTCGCGCACCCCAGAGCGCGCATGTATTGCTTCATGCCAGCAGCAGCAAAGGCATGCGCGCACGACACGACCCCCAGCACAACGCTTCCGCAATCCCAGTGGGTCTGACGGAGAAGGTGTCTGCAGATCTACACCGCTTCCCAGCGCAATCGTCCCCGCTGATCTAGATCAACAATGATGACAACTCGTGGACTCCAAATAATTGGTTGCTGTGCCCGTGTGTGTGTGTGTGTGTGTGTGGGTGTGGGTGTGGGTGTGTCTGTTGATTCCTCTCCTTGCATCTACCCTTGCCTTGCGGGATGGCCGCACAGCGCTGCCAGTGGTCTCCTCCCCGCCAACCTCGCCCTGTGGGTTGTGTGCTGCCGCCTCTGGCCACGCGCTGGAACCCCCGCGCGGGCTGCCACGTGGCGGGCAGTGCTCCTTCCCTCCCCGCCATAGGAGGAGGAGGAGGAGGAGGAGGAGGAGGAGGAGGAGGAGGAGGAGGAGTAGGAGGAGGAGGAGGAGGAGGAGGAGGAGGAGGAGGAGGAGGAGGAGGAGGAGGAGGAGTGCTGCCCACCGCCCAGATGGCATGTACATCGATCCAAAGCGGCAGTCGCGGGGGCCCTCCGAGCCGTTTTTGGCCGATCTTGGCCCGAAACGGCGAACACCCAAAAACAATGGAAAACCCGTGGAAAATCAGCGTCGTTTGCTTCCTCGGGCCGTCTCTGAGGGGTCCTCTGGGGAGGCTCGTGGGCCGTCTCGGGAGCCTCTTGGGCTGTTTTTGGGAGCCTGGGCCGTCTTCGGCCCTTCTCGGCTCCCTCCTTGGCCCTCGTGGTGGCCTCCCATGGCTCTCTGAGCGCTCTCGGGGGCCACCTGGCTCCATCTGGGGGCTCTCTTGGGAGCTTCTAGGGGGCCCTCTTGAGCCATCTTGGAGGCCTCTGGGAGGACCACGAACGCAGGGCTTTCGCCCATCTGCTGCCTGGCCCTCGCGGGTGGTTACACCCAGACGCATTGCGGGGCCTCGCACAGCTACAGTGCACGCGCTGCGCCCGCGACTTCATAGACTTCCGGGCTTGGGCCGACGCCGCGAAAAGCAGGGTGTTCAATTGGGAAGCTCTTCCAGCAGGAGGGCTCCGAGTGGCAGCACGCGCGCAGGACCTTCGTCGTTTGCGACAAGAATGCGATCCCCCAGACTGGCGAGCCGCCGTTTGGGCCCACTGGTTCGACTCGAGCTTTCTGTTCATCTTAGAGCGAGCGGAGGGCCGCGTTCAACGTGCTGCGGGTGGCCCACTTCTAGCCATGGCCAGTGGGCCCCGTGTACTTGCCGATTCTGAGATGGCTCGCCGGCAGTGGCAGCGCGCCCGCTATCAGGCGCTCCGGCCAGACCGCGAGGAGGCAGCATATCGTCACTTACGTCGTCGCCTCGACTCTTGGGCTGTGTCTTTGCTGCCTGGCCGGCGAGTGAACCGAGCCGTGGAGGTCCTGCAGGATCTGTCCACGCACGCCACGCCGCGCGTCTTCGCGGCCACGCTCCGTACCCTGTGCAGAGGGTGGACTACAAGGTGGCGGTCAGCGGCGTGCCTTCTTCATTGTGTTCGGGGCGAAGACTGCATCGAGCACTGCGCGAACTGCCTGGTTTTCCGCAAATTTACCTGTCAGAAGTTGCGGCTTCCGGAGGCCGCCCCAGCCGATAGGCTGCTGAGCTTGAGTGGGCTCGCGCAGTCTACGCCGCGCGACCGCCAGGTCTGGGCGATCGCCAGGTACGCCTTGTACACGGCGCTGTGCATGCTGCGGCACGGCCACCCGATGCACGGTCGGCTGGAGGACTTACTTCTGCAGCGTGCCCATGAAGGAGTGCGCGGGCACCCAGCGGGCATGCAGATTCTGAGCGCCGCCAGGGCGGGCCTCCCATCGCTGCAGGCTTCGCCCACCACTGCTTGTGTCTGTTGTTGCTTCTGCCCCGCCTGTTCTTGTTCCCGGCGCAACGCCGATACGTTTTGCAGGTGAATTCGCATCGTTATAACCGCCCGAATGTCTGCCACATTATTTTTCTCTGGTCCTGCCCGAGTCTGGGGCCACTTCCGGTTTTCGGGGCCATGGCTAACGGCTGCGTCGCCATTGCCTGTGTCATTGTAGGGGGGCACGATTTGTTGCCCGGTGTTGGCTGGCCGCCAGCTGGCGCCAGCTGCTTGCCCCCCCCCCCCCCGGGCCCCACGCCTTGGGAGGCAGGGGACCGCCCCTTTTCCTTCTTTTCTCCCTTCCCTCTTCCCCCTCCTGTTCCTGCTCCTTACCCCCCTTCCTGGCTTCTTCCTCCGTCCCCCAGTCCCCCGCTCGTCGTCGTCGTCGTCGTCGTCGTCGTCGTCGTCGTCGTCGTCGTCGTGGTCGTCGTCGTCGTCGTCTCGTTTCGTCGTCGTCGCCGTCGTCGTCGTCGTTCGGGGTTTCGGTCCTCTGCCTTCTCGGGCTTGTGGCCCCCCTGCGGGGGGCTGGGCATTCGAGGCAGAGGCCTCGGGTCTCACCAACGGTTGCTTGTTGTCTTCTCACCCCTGACTCTCGTACGGCGAGGCACGCGATTCCGTGTCGCGCCTCGTGGCTAGGGAACCCTCGACGGGTACATGCGAGGTCTTTTATTCCAGACGCCTCCTTTCTTCCGTGCTCCGGCGTTCCTCCGCCGTCTCTGCTGCCGCTGCTGCCGCCGCTTCTGCCCTCCTTCGTTCACGTCAAGTTTGACCCAGTGTTTGATTACCGCACCGCGCGCTGTATGGCGGGCCTGTGTTCCAGTTTCTATCCTTTCTTGTCCCTTTTCCTTCTCTTCGTGTTTCGCCCTCCTCCCCAGGCACCAGTGCGAGTCCCACCATTTTGTGCCAGTATGGGCTACGCACGCGCGAGTTGAAGTTTACATTGTAGCCGCGATCACATTGAGGCATCGACGCGGCGGAGGCGGGAATCTGCCATGTCAGGTTTTTCCGCGCGTGTTATCTCGTCTCTTGCGCTCGCAAGTAGTCGCACACTGCACCGAGTGAAAAAAAATGTCGGGTCCTTTTGGGGGCCTCTTGGGCTGTAAGGGGTAATCTTTGCGGCCGTTTGCGCACCCTGGCGGGCCGTGCGCCGACGCCTCTACGTGGCCAGCGACCGGCTGGCCACCGTTGGGGCCGACGCGCTGCGGACTGCAGGAGATGCTGCAGTGCGCACCTGGACCGCCTGGCACCAGCAGCCCCCTGCCCAGGACAGCCCGGGCCTGTTCCTGGAACGAGGTTGCGATAACCTGCACCCGGATGCCGCCGCGTCGCCATCGCCGCCGGGTCCCTGGAAGCCACCGCCGCCCAGGCCGCCAGGACTGCCAGGAGCCTGGGTTCACTAGCCCCGCGCGATGCCGAGGTGCGGCCCTGCAGCCCGGCGGCTGCTCTGGTGGCGTGCTGCCCGTCGGGGCGGCGCGCCTCTCCCCCCTTTCCCCTGCTCGCTGCGGCCTTCCGCCGCTCCTAGTTCCGCGACGTGCTGCCCGTCGGGGCGGCGCGTCACGTCCTCTCCCTGACAGACTGCTGGTCCGTCTGCCCTGGGCCATGTCCGCTTTTGTGGACTGCTCGAAGCCGCCGTTCCCTTTCCCGCAGTGAGACCCCCCGGCGGCCCGATGGCCGCCCCTGGACAGCGGCCCACGTTCAGACGTCGCGAGTGCCCGTGCACGCGGCGGGCACTGAATCCGGCTGGGCCGCATCTTCAGTGGCATTGCGATGCCTGCAGCAAGTGGATCAACGGCAGGTCCCACTTCACCACCAAGGCGCACCGCAAGAACCTGGACCATGCGGTCGGGCACGGCGGCCCGCCTGACCCCCAGAGGTGGACAGGGGCTGGGAGCTTGTGGCGGCTCACAGGTGGCCGCTCCACAGCGGCCATCCCGCGTGTCAAGTACCCTGGCTGGTTTGTCTACACCGATCTCTGCCTGATCGACGAAGAAACGTGCGACGGGTGGGACCGGGATGAAGGCGACGGGGATGCGGTGCCAAAGTGCTTCCCCCCCCGACGGACGCAGATAGCAACTGGGTGCCGCCGCCGTCTGTCGTCCCAGACTCGACTAGACATAAGAGTGACCTTTCCCCGAAGTGACCTTTGGTGCGGGCACAGATGGGCCCTCAGATGGCCGAAAACGAAGCGGCAGCAGCGGCTTGCGCGCCCGCGCCCAGGCTTGGTCTCCCCGCGCCCCCCCAGAAGGCCGCGCACGAAAGGTCACTCTTACCCAGGGTCACCCTCGCGTGTAGCCCACAGACAAAAGCGACCCCCGCCCGCCTCCGCACGCCTGGGAGAAGCCCGAGGCTGCCCCGGGCCCCGCCAGACGGCAGGCCACGCAGGACGCCCTGGCGCGGCTAGCTCCTCCCCCCGGCACCTCGGCCACTCCGGTGCCCTCGGGGCCAGCCGCGGCCGATTTTCCTCCTCCTCCTCCTCCTCCTCCTCCTTCTCCTCCTCCCGACCGCCTCCCTCCTCTTCCTCCTTCTCCTCCTCCTCCTCCTCCTCCTCCTCCTGCTCCTCTTCCTCCTCCTCCTCCTCCTCCTCCTCCTCCTCCTCCTCCTCCTCCTCCTCCTCCTCCTCCTCCTCCTCCTCCTCTCTCCTTACCTTTCTCCTCCCTCCCTCCTCCCTCCTCGCTCTCGTCGGCTGCTGACCCCGCGCCGCCGCCATCGCCGGGGCCGCCGCCTGATAGCACGGGCCGTGCCCCAGGAGCGGCGCCCCCGCCGCCGCTCGGGCCGCCCCTAGGAAGTGCGGGCCCAGCGGGGTCGGCCGCGACGCCAAGCTCGGCGGCACCTAGCAGGCCTGGACGGGGCTGTCGGGAGCCTCGAGACGGGGGTCAATGCAAACAGGGGTCAGACAGAGCGCCCGATCTTGCTGGATCCCGCGGGGCCAGGGCCGCACTGACCCGGGCTTGGGTGCAGGATCCTGCAGGATCCTTCGCATTGACCCGGGTTTGGGTGCAGGATCTTGCAGGATCTTTCAGGAGTCTGCAAGGCCTGACTGACCCGAGGCTGGCGCACCGAGGCGAGACCTGGTCGACGACCAGACCCTCTCGCCTGCCCTGCGTGCCGCGAAGTCTGTCGCCGACCTTTTCCGCGGCCCCTGGTGCAGGCTCGCCGGTCGAGCTGCCCGTCAACCCGCGGGGCCCATGCCAGGAGCTGTTCCCCTGGAGGAGCGGCGGCACGCGGACGTCCACAGCAAAGGCCGCCAGGTGTGGACGTTGCTCGACATGGAGCAGTGTGCCCGGCTTGAGCCGGCTGGCGACCGCTCGCAGAAGGTCCGAGCTGGCCTGCGCCGGCGGAGGTCTTGCCTCCTGGATGTTGAAGGGCAATTCTCGCCATGCGCGAATCCACTATCCACCAGAAGGCGTCAAGTAGCTTCTGCTCAGCTCGAGCATCAATCCAAGGACCCGTATGCCCAATCCTCAGCCAATCCTTTTCCCGAAGTTGCGGATCTGTTTTGCCGTCGTAGAGCGCTACAGCCCCGGACGCCCTCAGGACATGATACAGCGGTGGGGCCTGGCGAGGCGCCTGGGTGATCACAAACTGGGCGAATGAGAGTACTTCGTCCCCAACTGGGACGGCGACTGGTGCACGGACTGGTCCCCGCGACGAGTTCCTGGACCTGCGCCCTCATCGTGTCCCACCGCTGCCTCGCCGCCGCCCGAGTGGCCGAAGCGCGAGCTGTCTGGCCGCCCTGCCCTGGAGTTGCCGTGACAGGCGAGCCCGGGCGCAGGCGCCCCAACACTGCCATGATCGTTGCGTTCGACGCGCGTAGCGGAAAGGTAATCCCACTTGGCTGGCGCCACCGCAGAGATGCCGCGCCCGCCAAACGCGCCCTGGTACCGGGTTGACAAGGCCTTGCCGCAGATGCAGCGCAACCGAGTGTGGAACGCCATCCAGGAGATGTTCATGCTCAATTCCGACGCTGGCTCTCTGCGGGAAACAGCGCTCCCAGTCTTCCCCTATGTGGCCTTCCGTGGTGCAGACGTGGACCTGAAGGGGCAGGCCAATTCCATATCGGCCCTGGCTGAGGCTGCGGGCGCTCTGCAGGCGGAGGCATCTGTCGCTAGAGGGGTGTTTTTTTAAGACTTTGACAACCCCGCAGCCGCCACCAGCCGGCCAGCGGCAGCTCCCATCGACGACCAGGTCCAGCAGTGCCCTGGTCATGTGCTCCAGCGCGTCCTGCCAGCCCGAACGCCAGCAGACGCCAGGGCGACGACCGCACGGCATGGCTTCAACGACAGCCAGACGCCCGTCCTGATCGGGTCCCTGGCCGTGCTGATCCTGCTGGTGCACGGCCCGCCTGGCACCGGCAAGACCAAAACTATCACGGCCGTCCTGGATCTCTGGCTGCCTTGCGTCCCTGCTGACTGGGCCCTTGGCTTGTTTTCCGGCTCCAACAAGGGCATCGACATGCCAGCTAGGTACCTGGCCGAGGCGGTTCGCGCCAACAAGCTGCACCCGGACTCATGTTTCCCTCACGCCGCCTTCCGCGTGGGCCGTGACGACCACGTCACAAGCCGGGAGGCCAAGGCGCTCACGCTGGCGGCCATGTACCAGAAGCAGTACAACTGA